TACTTTCAAAATGCAAATTTACTGGTATGCAAATTACTTTTATAAAAATCAAGTTTTTATTTTTTATTTTACTTTGTGTCTTCACATTATAAATTCTCTAACTGAATCTAGTAACTTATACGTCAATACCTGGCTCAAAAGCTAGTATCATAAATATGATTTATGTTTGTGATGGCATTTAGAAATAAAATAGTATGATACTAGCATACATTTGTTGCTTGGTCGTTCACATATTTTGTTAGAGAGCATATTTCGAACAATTCGGAATCATTATCATACTAAGATTAATGCTTAAGAAAATTCTCAAATTTAGATAAATTGTTTTATACTAAGTAAAATTTAAGTTTTATATTGAATTTACTATTATCAACCAGTTGTAAGGTTTTCAAAACGAACAGTATAGACATACATAGTTTGTAAGTCGCAGTTTATATTTTCGTGTTAACATTCAACAGAAATTGCGTCAGTTGTACCAACCAGTTTTATTTCAATAAAAATCTTAGATATTCACAAAATTTAATACAATATTTTTAATAACAGTTTGAAACCATACCATGTTACCATACAATACATGAGTATCATACAATTGTGTCAACTTGTAAGTATAGTAATTTCTATGATTTAAATTACAGTAATTTTGCGAAATTTCTTGATATGGCGATCCTATACAGTTGATAAAATTATATTTCAATAATCTTGTTTTTAATTAATACAACCAGTAGTATAATTAAAATTTTGTTTGACCTTCTTTTTTTTTTTTTTATCATACACATATAATTATGTATGATATACAACTTCATTTATTAGGCATTATAATATGTTAAGTAACATAAAATGTTTTATAAATAAAAAAAATTTTATTTTTCAAATATTTTTTTTTTCGAATTCTTAAAAGAATATCACAAAATATTTCTATAACTATTTCTATTATTATTTAAATTTTTAATGATTTTTAAATAAAATCATCGTTTAGCTGTTATAGGAAATTATATTGTTATACGTATATTGTTATATTTATATTATTATATGATAAGTAATTTTTATAATTTTAAGTAATTCTTATAATGATTTCAACTGCCCACCTTCAAATGTCTCATAAAGTTCATAAAACATGTCAAGAATGATAAAATACGTATATATGTAATAGGGTCTTTTATGGTGAACATTGAAATCAATAATATTGTTTAAATATCTACTTATATGCGTTATATTAAATTTTATATAATTTTGTTAGAGGACGCGAATTAGTAAGAAGACTTAAAATACAAAAAAATTTGTTGATAAATTTTAAGACAACTTGTTTGGCATTTAAAATTTTTTATATTTGAATATAATGTTAGCCATTATATTTATTGATAATTAAATTAATTTTCATATATCGCTGTTGTTACTTTTAAAATTTCGTTATATCACCATGCACCAAAAATAATTTAAATTTTTACTATAATTAATAATAATTATCATAAAATTTAAAAGGGAACTTGTATAAAAATGTTGTTATTGAAATAACTTGTTTTTCTTCGACAGTACGTACATAAGTAATAAAATTTTGTTAATTTAAATTGGTTTATTCCGACTCAGTGCATTTGTATGGAGACAATTTAAATTAAAACTTGATATAAAATTTTTTTATTATAATTAAGTTGCAACATGCTAGTTTCATACCAAAATAAAAGGGCCTTTAAAAATTAATTGAAGTAATTAAAATAAAGAAATATTTTGAAATTTCGATTTCATTGTATTATGCAAGAATAAATATTTCGAATATTGGTGTATGAGGCTGTTTAATTACAAATAAATTTGGTATGAAATAAGATTTGAGTAAAAACTATCTTAATAAAATGCACAATTTGTTTGAATAATTCCGTTCATATACATTATGTGTTGTAAAATACCAAATATTTTCCAATTAAAAGCTATTACAGTTATAATATAAAGAAATTTTTAAATAAAAATATATGACCTTTTTCTGTAAAGTGAAAGTAATTTTATGTACAAAAAAAGAAGAAAAAAATAGCCTCAAGGTACAACATAAAAATTGATGTATGAATGTTAAATTTATGTTCATATGCACAACCATATCATACTTAATATTTATACAAGTATGTTAAACTATTGCATACTATCAATATTTTGATGATGGTACACAAGTTTTCTCTATAAGTATATTTATAATATGGAAATCATATATAAGTTTCGTATATATATAAAATTATTGAAATTCATTAAAATGCATCAGATATTTAAAATGATTGAGAGCGGATTTTATTATAATGTTATACATATGATTGGAACATATTCGAACATTATTGTTTTAGTTTCAATTAGTTTATTGTTTAATATTCATTTAGTTTCTTCAGTCAGTTACTAAGTATATGTGATAAATTATAATGACATTAAAGAAAGTTGGTAAAACATGTTGCTTATAAATAAATATAAGTAAGAGTTTTTTAAAAGTTCATAATTTTTGTATGAATTAGATAGAAATGTTTAATGGAAAATTGAATATGAAGTTTGAATATTAAATACAAATATTATACATTTTAAAATACAAAGGTTATAATTTAGAAATTAAATGGTTTATTTCGGAAATTCAAATTAAGAAAGCATGTCATACAAAATCATTGGAGAAAATTAAATTTAATATAATTTTTGTATGAAGTTGATAATATAAATGTTTGATAGCAAAGTTAGAGTAATGTCAATATGAATATTTCAATATTTTTGTGTTCAATAGAGATGTTATTAACGTGATATTCAAGTGATTATTTCAAGAAACTCTGAATTGATTTTAATTTTAAAAATGTTTGATTAAATAAATATAAATAATGAAATAGTTTTAATTATCTTTTATGACCTTTACTTAATTGTACTTAAAATAATGTTCAAGTTTAAATTTTTTTTTGCACCATCGAGCTATATTGGAATCTGAACGTTAAAAATGAATACTAAAACAAAATATGGACATATAGAATAAATTATTATGTAATTCTACTATAATATTAAGAGACTAACCTCTCTTGATTAAATATCTTAGCAAATAAATTCATATATTAAACGCTTTATGACAACTTTAAGACAAAAGATAATTAATAATATTTTTTCCACGAATGAATTATAATTTATTACTGTGTTTAATGCTTCCTAAATTATACAAGTATTTATTATTATATTCATATCCATACATACATACATATATTGAATTAAACATACAACAAGAAGTCACCTTCAAGCTACTTGAGCAATTCATTAAAGAAAAGAAAAACCTATTTATTATTAATAATTTGTTGATTTCTATATTTTATCAAGTTTTACGTTTAAAAACAATAGTGAGTAACACTTCTGAAATTATACAATTTCATTACTGTGATGATAATAGCTAGTCACATCATATGTTTGATCTTATACATGTGTTTTTAGCCACATATGTGTTTGAATCAAATTTTTTATTAATTTCAAAGTTCAAAACCTTTAATAAAATTACAAAATTTTTGAATTTATTGATTAAGATTCATAGATTAATTTATTTAAGAAAAAATTAAAGAGAGGCATGGAATTTTTTTTTTGAATATTAATTGGTTTATTTTAAACCTCTACCTATATTCAGATTTTATGTATGTGCATAATATACGGGGTGTCTGAAAAGTTCACGTACTTTTGGAAATAATAATTTTTCTCGTTATAATTCTGATTTTTTTTTTTTAATTTGGTTTCATTATTTGCATTTGTAGCGCAATTTTATCCCAAGTAGTACCTGTTAACTGTGTCTTTATTTTTTGTTAGCCTAGAAATGAGTCGCGATAACAAGCGCATTACTATTATAGAATCATATAATTACACAGTTCTGGTATAAAGATAGCTGAGATTGTAAGGACGACTGGTTACAAAAAAAAATGACTGTCTATGATACCATAGAACGTCACCAGGAGTTGGGGAGCACGTCACAGTGTCCTCGTAGCGGCCGTCCTGTTAATATATAATCGAACCATATGATAAAATTATAATCGAAGGGTGCGCAACCGTCGTCTACAATTTTCTAAAGCGCCTTCGAGCATGTATTACTCTAAATGGAGCTAATTTTGAGTATTTTTTGTAAATTTTTTATTGATAATTTTTATTACTACTCTAATAAACGTCTCTAATCACTTAACAATGTTGATTTCTTAATCAATGTAGCAGTTCTAAGCTGTAAAAATATTTAAAAAAAATACGGGACCTTTTCAGGCACACTGTACATATATGCATGTATATAAATACAATATTTTAGATAAAATTCTATTAATTAAAATTTTGTTAACTTCATAAAGTCATTAAATTTTGGATTTTATATAAAATATACAAAAAAATTCAATTAATTATTAACAACAATTATCGAATTTTTAAAATATTTTAAATATAAATATTATGTTTGATTGAATGTTTGATTTAATATTAAGGGAAGGGAATTAAAGGGGGATTGTAGGGGAGGCCATGTGATTGTACTAAGTTTCGCATATTGAGTTTTCGGTGGGAACGTACTTTTCCATAGTAGGGAAGTGTAAACAAATTATTTTTTAGCATGATCGTCGGTCTGTTGGCCTGTGTGTGCACAGGTGTATCTCAAGTTCGACTGAATCGGTATCACATCAGACATTTACCATATAATTTAAATGAATATATTTATAGCGTGTTCTTTAGACCCTATTGAGCTTAAAAATGTAAAAAGTAACACACAAAAAAATAAATTTCTGGTAATTTTTGGTATAATTTTTTGGTAATTTTAATAACATAAAATAGATGATATTACAATTCGAAAATTATTTTAGATGTCCAATTTTTTGCCATTTTGTTTCAAGCACTTTTGGCTACGTATTATTTATTGCATGTGATATATAACATACGTCTATTATCCGCCTCTTCACTTAAAATTTTACACAATTCTCAATAGTTTTCATTGAAAAATATTAACTTCTTATTTCTCTTATTTACAGTATTAAAAATATATGTACATAAATACTTACATTTATTGTGACCTTTTATTCAAAATGAAAAAATTAACTTCCAGTGTTAATTTTGTTTTTGAAATAATCGAAATTATTTTTTTATTGGTTGAGCACTTCCACAAAAGAAGAAAAAGTTTTTTTTTTTTTTGATTTGTTCTGTAAATAGAAGAGAAGATGAAATAAAATCAATATTTATTTTATTAAAAGCATAAAATTTTTTATATAATTTTGTAAGATCTTAAATTCAATATTGAAGAAAAATGCAAGATAATACAATGGACATTCTTATTTAAAGTTGTCACAATGTTTAATGAAAAGACAATTGTAATATTATAATAATACTGTCGTATATATATACATTTTTCACACACACACACATGTGTAATAACTAAAATGATTATATTAATTCTGATCACACACATGGCATCGCATGTAAATTTATTGATATTATTTTATATTTCGCTTGGGAATCACCTTCAATTTATTTAGATGATAAGTTTATATAATAAAGTATTTTAACCCTTTTCTGAAGGCTAGAGCTTACAAACATAATGTACATAATATAAAATATTTTACTTCCGGATGTATTGGAGGAACGCGCCTATTTTGTGGTGGTTATGTATTTTGTGGTACAGCTACAGTAGCTTGTTAGATGGCGCTAAATTCTGATCGTGCAGCCCGTAAGTTCTTATTTAACCAATATTCTAATAACAAAATAGTACCGTATTTTTAAATGAATTTTTTCGAATGTTGGAAATGTACTCACTTCTCTGACAAACAGTCTAAGTAAGTAGTTCTAAGTAAAAACTAAATTTTCAAAAACCCGTCAAATTATGTCAAGTTGCCGTGTTAAGTTTTAGATAAAAACTTAATAAAATTACATAATTATTTGTGATTGATCGATCAAGCGACATCTGTTGGATATAAAAACTTAGCAAAACTTTAAGCAATGTTTTAGTATAAAATTCTACAATGGTTTCACATTTTATAAAATACTTTCGTTAAAGAATATTTCAATATAAGCTACTGATATATTTATTTATTATTTGAACAAAGAACCGATGTGTGAAGAATTAAACACTTTACTAAACTTTGAAAAATTTAACACGTGTGTTTTATATTTTTGATGATTTAAAATGATAAATTATTTATATGTACTCGTACTTCGCCAAAAAATGTTCTGATTTACTTATGGACAACTTTAGGATACAAATATATAAAATATGGAAAACTAGTGTTATTAAATTCAAAATAAACATAAAATTTTTAAAAATGATAGGCAACTGATCGGATTTTAATTAACTAATCGAAATAAGTAAACATGTCTGAATTGCTATGGTCAAATCAAAAAATGTAATCGAAGAGTATAACTGATTGATTAATTCCACAGGAATGCAATTTAGAGTAAGAATACATTAATATCATGGTACAGGCAGTTATTATGTAAAAAAAGCATTGAAAGTTACTAAAAATAAAGTTACCCGCATGAATCCAATTTGCGGAAGTAATTTCGCTCAACAAAGAAGAAATATTATTCATACAGGAAGTAATACTACTCATTTTATTGTAGTGTACTCCGAAATCTGGTTAGAAATATTTTTGTTACTTCTCTTTTACTCAATCAGGTAACATTTTACTCTCATACAGAAACTATTCCTTCAATTATTTTCAAGTAGTTTTACATGAAATTTATTTCACATTATACAGCTTTGTTTTCCAAAATGTTATAAACGATATATCGAAATTATAATACCTAAAGTTAAAATAGATTGTTCAATTGTAATAAAACAATAATTAATTACATAGCTAATTAAATTTTAATCGTGATACGAAAAAAAAACATTAAACGTTTTTCTTTTAATATTTTGAATATTGTGTGTTTAGAACAATTTATTCAAAATGAAAAGTTTGAATGAAAAACTCATTATTTTTACGGTTCTCTGTTTTATATTAAGTCAACTAAAGGATTTTACAACGGCGGAGGTTAAACAAATTAATTTTGAATTCTTTTACTTTATTCAATGTAAAAATTATTTAATTTCAGAAAAATAAAATTAAACCTTTTAATATAAATTGTAAAGTAAATCCAAATGTAGCGGTTAATGTGACATGTGTTTTAAAAGCTGTTAACAGGCACAGAACATTATGTGATATGTCAGGCTATGCAATAGTACCAATTAATAGCATTTTGGTAAGTACTTACTTAAAAAATTTCTGCCTAATTTACGATATTTTAAATTGTTTTCGTGAAAATTTTAGATCAATGTTAAAACCTATTCACGTTTAAACGGTTGGAAACCATGGATTATTAATGGAAAATTTAATGTATGTGAAGTTCTAGCTGGAAAATTTAATCCTTTATTTAATATTGTTAAAGAAACATTAAGAAAATATACAAATGTTAATCATACATGTCCATTTTCGGTAATAAATATTCTCATTTAAGAAAAGTTTATATATAATAAAAAAATACAAATAAATTATTCTATTTTTTAAGGGGTATATGTTTGCTAAAAATTTAGAATTGGATAATTTAAATATGGGAAGTTCAATAATACCAAAAGGAATGTACCGTCTTGTATTAATTATTTATTCAAAATCATTTAGTATATTAAATATAACTGCAGATTTGGAAGTTCTTAGTTAGTTATAATAATTATTATTGTAAAAATATTGTTAAAATTCATTAGTTTGTAAATTTACATATTGTTATACATATACGTATATGAGTTGTATTTAATAGAAATAATAGTGGTATACTGATTTAAAAAATTTTAGCTTTTATAATATTCAATTTTTTATTTGCCTTAATTTAAACTCCGTTATCATACTTTAAATTTAAATAACACAGACTCATAGTGTGAAAAGAAAAATTTGAAGTAAGTAATTTAATTATTTTATTTTGTGTCTTACCACTTCAATAAGTCTGCAACATGTTTTTTTTATACTTATTTTCTAATTATTTAGATTTTTGCCCTTATTATAAATATTCGGACGGAACATTTTCTGAAGAAATTCCGAACATTGCTATTAAAAATAGCAATCTAAATCGATCTCTGGGGGGGAATTTTTTCTGCAAAGGAAATTCTGAAAGGTTTTTTAAAAATTTTTGAATAACATAGAACCTATTTTGAATAACATAGGAGCAGAATTTGTTCGGAAATTTCTCAGAATACAAGTTATGTTCGTACTTTTAAATTGTTATAGTGCAAAAGCAAAAAATAATGTAAATATTTATTTTATTAAAAAAAAAATATTTATTTATTATATAAATATTTATAAAATATATGTACTACAATATCTATTTGGTTTTTTTAAATATTCCAAAATTATTTCTTATTTCCTATCATTTAATTAGAGGGGCTTATATGCGTCCCCCAGCCTCCTTCTCAACCCGCAACTACTCATTTTGTAAATAAATTTTTAAATTAACGTCCATTATTTATAATTTAAATCTTTTTTATATCAAAACTTTATACAACTCACATTATTATCAAAACTCGACTCAACATTTCAAATATCAATAAAATTATTATGAGAGAATCTCGTTGATATTTTTGAGAAAAACATCACAAATCGTAAATATTGCGAATTATTATCCTCTCTCAGTGCGTATTATTGCATTTTTGTCATGTTGACCTCTAAATTAGCACTTAATTCTTCCATATAATAAAAATATATGAAATTCGCCGTGTTTTTATGATGGTTTTATTGAATTTATAAAATACGAACATTTTGAAAGCAAAGTCGAATTCTCAAAGTCCTTTATAACCTTCCAGGTTTTAATATTTTACAATTGGATTATTGTTCTCCGTTTATTGTTTACAATTTCGTTAGGATTTTGAAAAATCTTTTTTAACACTTTGTAATAACGATTTTGTTCACCACTTTTTCTTCATATACACATTCCAAATTTTAAAATGAAATTAATTGAAAATCAGAAATAATTTAGTAGAACACAATATGCGTACCATATAAACTATTTCATATGTTTTATTTTCAGAGCATTTAATATTAAGTTTAAAACGCGATTATTGTATAGGACAAAATAAAATTTTGAGTTTATTTGATCGAAAAGATTAATTTCAATAAAATCTCAATTAAAATTTAAAGTAAATCAATTACATGGTCAATTAAATGGTGTAGCTATAAAAAATAAATATTAAATACAATAATTAATTTAATTTCCAAGCGATCTCAAAAAAAAAAAAAAATTCAAAATGAAATTTGATATTCAAATTAAAAATTTGAAAATGTGCACTAAAATTATCATTTTAATATTTTTATATTTAATAGTTTATATTAAAAGATTTACATCAGGAGAAGTAATAAACAATTTTAAAAGAAAGAATAATAATTTTAAAATCAAATCCTTAAATTTTAGATAAATAAAATAAAATTTTTTAATGTTAATTGTGAATGGAATCAGAAAGCTATAACAAATGTAACATGTAGTTTAAGAGCTATTAATCGACATAAAACAGTGTGCGATATGTCAGGTTATATAACTGTTACATATAATACACTTTTTGTAAGTCTTAATTTAAAAAACGTAATTTCTTATTAAATTAAAAAATATCTTAATTTAAAAAACGTAATTTGTACATGATAAAGATTTAATTTCTTTAACACGTATATGTACTCATATTCGTAATACGGTACCTACTTGTGTGGTTGTGGCAATTCAAAGATTATGGTCCTAAAAATATTTATACATAAAATCTTATTTTGTATGCTTCACAAGTTTAATAATAAGATTTTGAAACTTTTTGTATCATCCGGTCATACCCCAATTGCAATATGGCGTAATTTTTTAAGATATGTGCCGTATTTCTGAGGAGATATTCTCATTAATAAATTTCATGAAAAATATTGTGATTTTCGAAAGCTATTCCTTAAGGATTTAGGTTAATAAATTTTATTTCAATAATTTTACTTTAAAATTTTTTAATAATTATTTTTGAATTATTTTTTTTTTTAAATTTTAGTTAACTCTTAAAACATATTCACGTTTAAATGGATGGAAACCATGGATTATTAATGGAAAAATAAATATGTGTACAGTTATGGAAGGAAAATATAATCCAATATTTAATATGATTAAAGAAACTTTGCTTAAATACACAAATGTTAATCACACCTGCCCATATTCGGTA